CAGGCGCGACGCGACGGGCGTTTAGGGCAGCGGGGGGAGGGCGCGTCGCGACGAGCAGCGGGGGAGGGCACGACGGGACGACGGGCGGGGAGAGCGCGACGCGACGGGGGCAGGGGAAGGCGCGATTCGACGGGCAGCGGGGGGTAAAAACGCGACTCGACAGGCAGCGGGGGGGGGAAACGCGACTCGACGGGCAGCAGGGGGAAAAACGCAACTCGACGGGCAACAGGGGGGGGAAACGCGACCGGCAGCACGGGGGAGGGGGGGGGGGGAGAAGGTCCCTACGCTACGAGAGTAGTGGATCGGCGGAACGGGCGGTAACGAACGAACGCGACTAGAGCGGGCCGGCGCTAGGCTCGGGTAAGACGTGCGCAACTAGTACGACAGAATGATACAGGCTCGGGCAAAACGAACGAGGTCGGGAGGAGCGGGATCCCATAGGATCCGAACCTAGGTGATACCATGTCAAGAAAGGAACTAATGATGTCATTGATGTGAGTTGGGGTACATATAACAAACCCTAACTTCTGTACCCCCTAAGACAAACCTCACTAAGGCTACAACATTTGACAGGATGAGAGTTTAGGGTTGAAGGATATATTTTGCTGGAGGAGATTGTTGGTTCACTGCGACAGGTAAGGGCTGAACATCGAGGCGCGCACCAAGAATTGAGCGCGACACGGAATCAATGAACACCCGAAACACCACCAAGAATACAGCGCGGATGCGTGATACTGTAATCGTCAACAAGCTTGCTGTGCAATCGAGGGCAGAAATAGGGAGGTGCTCTCTGGGCTGCATGCGAGGCATTCAATTTCGTTTTGCATTTTGGGGGGGTGTTCATCACCTGCGCAAGCTGGAGAGCCTCGATGTGAGCTTCAACCGCCTCAGCAGCAGCATTCCCAAATCCTTCTCCTGCATCAAGTCGTTGCGGTCCAGGGCTTTTTTTTAGTTTTGGAGCACTCTTGTTTCCAGAGGCGTTTTTGGCCTAACCCTTAAATCCAGAGTGGCTGGCGAGCGTTGCTCTTAGATGTCAGTGTAACACTTGCTGTCATTTTAAAAACCCTGTTACCTCAGAGTAACTTTCATCTGTAACCCTGATGGTTACCCATTGTTTGCTATTGCTGTTGCATTGCCAGAATTATTGAATTTTTTAAACTTTGTATACAATGACCTACTACCACAAGCTCACTCATCGTAAGCCACGTCATCCTCCCGTTCGTCGTCCGAACTGGCCTCTGGCCCGCCCTTGTCATTGGCTGGTTGGAAGGGTGCAGGGGATTTTGTAGGCCGCCTCTTCTTCTGCTTGCGCCAGATGTCCACGACATCTGGCCACTCCACGTTGTAATCGAGCATGTGGATGCTCATGAGTTCGGTGAGCCGCGTGTCGTTGAGAGCCGTGCGCTGCCAGCTCTTGATGATGTTCTGCCGTGAAAATCCACGCTCACATTCGACGGTGCTGAGTGGCAAGACGGCCAACGCCTGCCACAGGGTCATGATGTTGGGGTAAGTTCGCCGCCAGTCGCGTGACCTCAGCATGTTCGTCAGCGCCTGGTAGAAGTCCTCGTCCTCGTGGTGCGTCCTCATGACGTGGCAGAAAGTTTTCAGCTCAAGTTCGGCTGCCCGCAGTTCGAATCCTGCCAAAACAGTACGCGCAGCACAACGTTTTTTATGTACGGAAATGTTAGGTACACATTGACGAGAGGCATTATTACAGGGAAAGCACACATACACGATCGAAAAGATATACACATACCTGGCAGCTGGTGGTTGAAGAGTTTAGAGTTCTCGCGGAGCCACGTGGCACAACGTCTCACACGCGTGTCCGGATTCGCTGGCCACTTGTCCACCCTGAAAAGCTTCAAGCCGCCCATTCGACGAAGATCTCGCATGCGGTGCTTCAGGTTGTACACGACCTCGCGGGCGAAGGCCTTGCCCAACTTCACGCAATCTGCAAGCGTCCCGCCGAACTTGTGCTTCTTGTCCGGCAGCTCGCTGAGCTCGAAGGTGTGCTTGACGGGTATGCCGCTAGCGTCCACGCCGTCCACCTTCACCTTCTTGTCCCCTTTCTTGACACGTGCCATGAATGGAGACAGGATGGGGCTCAGACCCGCCCCGAAACCACCATCGTAATCGATGTAGCGGTGCTCGATGAGGGACACCACACGGTCGACCTCCTCTGTGACTTGCGTCACCTCCACCTGACGCACCGACATGTGCGCAAAAAGGTTTGTTAGTCTGTGTGGGCAAATGAAAATTAAACAAGACTAAACGCGTGTATCAACAATCCTTTAGGGCACGTTTTACCTTGCGTCGTTGGAAGAAACGGTTCAGGGAGTTCAACTCCCCCAAAATGTCTGCCAGGAAATACAGACAGAAGTGGAATTTCAGGGTCTTCACAACCGAAGCGATCTTGTGCTTGTACTCCAGAAAGAGCACGATTGCCGACCCCAAAATCTTGACAAGCCGGTTGACCGCATCGGCACGGGAGAGCCAGCGCACGTCAAACAGTCCCTGGTGCTCGAGGTTGGTGCTGTGGATCACGATCTGGAGCTCTTTGAACCGCTCGTACCACGGCGTGGATCTCCCCACGATCTCGCCCACTGCACGGATGGCCTTGTCTACCATCCGGAAATCTTGGAACTGCTCGGCTTCGGCCGTCTCCTTCACAGCAAGTGCTTCGCTGCAAGCAATAGTGGGGTGAGCAGAAAAGGATTGTTACATTACTTTAAAGATCGACTAACGTAAAACCGGTCATTTAAAATTATCAGCCACGACACAAGTACCGATGCGCAATGCAGTGGCAGCCGACCAGGTGGGGGACGTGGACGCGCAGTCGCGTGACAACGCCGGACGTGCCCCCGATCATCACTGCCGCGCCGTCCGTGGACATTCCGGATATCTTCTTCAGGTCGACGCCCACTGTCTCGAGATGCTGGAGCAGTGCGCCCATGAGCGATGCCGCATCACATTGCTGCACGGTTAGTAACGCGAGGAACTCGGTTACAACCACGCTGTTCTTGAGGAACGTGACAAACACAATCATGTGTTTGCCACGGGCGCGATCGGTACTCTCGTCGCACATGAGGCCGATGAAGGGCGAGGCGTGGAGGACGCGCAATTGCTCCCTGGTCAGATACGCGGTGAGAGCCTTGGCCATCTCGGAGAAACCGTACCTGCGCATTCACATAGCACAACGCATTAGCCTCGTTAAACAAAGACGGTTGCTTCGAATACAAACCAGTCAACAGCAACTCACTGCGTGATGTACACTCCATAGCTTTGTTGCGGAATGTTGGCGACCCCCTCCTCTGCGAGAAGCTGCACGACCTGTGGGTACATGTGGATGGGTGTGTCGGTACGGCACACAAAACGCATGGCGCGCATGAGTACCGCGACGCGACAGCCTTCCGGATCTCCATTCGCGAAGTCTTCAATCTTCTTCTGGTCCACGATCTTCTGCAGAAGGTTTGCCTGCTTGTTCATGGCGTCCTCGTGCTTCGCGCTGTTCTCGTGCCACCGCATCGACCCGATCTGCAGATCACGACCGCCAGCGCCATTGCGACCGTAACGCGCGTTGTCCTTCCCGTGCTCCATGCAGACACTGCAGCGCAGGCACGGGTCACCCTCTGGCGTCTTGTCCAGAATCAGCCAGTCAAACTTCGGCAGCCAATCAGACTTGTAGCTCTTCTGCGCCTTCAGGTACGCCTTCTCCTTCTTCTCCTCGTCTGTAAGGGGACGAATGGGGGGTGGGGCAGCACGGGGAGGTGGAGCGACGGGCTTCGGAGGCGGTGTTCCCCACTGCAAAACCTGCTGCGTGTACCGTCGCTTCTTCACAGCGACTGAACCGGATGACTCAGGAGTGGCCGCATCGACGACCTGCGTTGCAACCGTTTCAGCCGGCTCTGCAGCAACCTCGTTTCGCGGCGAGGCGATCCACTCCTCAACACCGTCGGACTCAGCAGCGTCATTCATCGGGCGCGGAGAAGGACACCAATCGTCGTACGCATCTTCCATGCCGCCACTTTCCTTGCCAGGACGGCGCATCCATTCGGTACCGCCATCGCCCAGCTCCTCCTCATCGCGAGCGTTATCTGCATGCACAGCGCGGAGAAACTGAAGCCCTGTCGCAGGGGGTGTGATACATGTCGGCCTGTCGTCGGGATCAGCCGCGTCTCCCTCGGCGTCGCTAGTATCCATGATATTGACGGCAAAAAAAAAGGTTAGGGAGGCGGGGCTGTGGCTGGAGAAGCCCTCGGAACACTCGCTAGACTGGAACGTTGAAGAGCAGTGCTGGGTGGAAGAAACATAATGGCTCAGACAGGATGGGGTTTGGTGGTGACCCCGTATGCCTGCCGAGCAACAGGTGTGGATGTGCGCGCCGCGCACGAATTCAGTGCACCACAGGAAGCTGCCGTATCATGCCCGAAAGTTGGAGTTGTTCATTGCTGATGGGGTACGCAAAGCCAGCGATGTATCCACTGGGTGGCCAGTTGAGTGCGCTGGCACGAAATATGCCATTCCGGCCAATCGGCGCCTCAGGTTGTGCCAACACACGGGCGAAACAACACTGATATCCCCTGCGCTCCGGTCCAAACCGGCATCGTGGGGATAAGGGGGACCTAGGGGGGTCGGGGGGGTACATGTATCCCCCGTTCAGAGTAAACTCACTATTCGAGAAAGGAACACTGGCGCTCCAGAGTGAACTTACACAAAAACCCTGGCTGATCAGAGAACAAGTAACTCTAAAAAAAAATACCCAGCAGGTACAGAGTGCCCCCCTAAAAACCACTCTGATTTTCAGAGAAACAGAGTAAATTACACTGATAAAAAAACCCCTGTTGCGGTCCCTCGATCTGAGCTTCAACCGCCTCAGCAGCACCATTCCCAAGTTCCTTTCCCGCATCACATCACTACGGAGCCTCGATCTCAGCTTCAACCGCTTCTCTGGCAAGCTCCCGGCAGGGCGGATGGCGCAGCGCAGCATGGTGAGCCTGAGGATGGCAGGCAACCGCTTCAAGGGCGTCATCCCCACGAGGCTGAGCAGGATGACGCAGCTCAAGGTGATGGACCTGAGCCATAACCAGCTGCGCAAGCGCATCCCTGCCACAACGCCTTCAATGGGTCGCTTGGAGTGACCGCCCAGGACGCGCTGTACGGGCAGAGCAACCGGCTTGACGGCGTGGTGGGAGCGGCGTTTGCTGACGGGGGCAGGGCCCCACTGAAGGTGCTGGACCTGAGCTACAACCTGCTCACCGCACTCAACCCCTTCCGAAACTGGAACCTCACCGAGCAGATCATCCTCTCTCACAACTCCATCCAGCAGACCATGCCTTCGCATTTCCTCGTGGACGATGCTGTCGCACACGGCACGCGCGCCAAGCACCTGGACCTGAGCTTTAATCAAATCGGCGGCACCCTGGAGCCGCTGAGCACGTTGACTGCATTGACCAGCCTTGACCTGACGGGCAATCAGCTGACTGGAGGCGTGCCCACGTGGGTGAGCAAGCTGACGAGGCTGCAGCGGTTGCACCTGGGGGAGAACCAGCTGGGCGGGGCAGTGCCCGTGGAGCTGTTCGCTGGGAGCTCGCTACAGCATGTGGACGTCAGCAGCAACAGCCTCTCAGGTGCGCCATGAAGGGGGAGCACAGGGGGGAAAACGAGGGGCGGGGGGAAAGGGAGGGCACAAGCAAGGGGGGGTAAAACGAGAGGAAGCGTGCGGAAAGAGTGGCTTAGGTGCTAGGGATCTTGGAGAGCCCACAATCTGTGATCTTGCTCCGTGCCACATGCATGGAACAACATTTTCATAATCAGATTACCGCCGACCTTCCCTCACTAAACCCTCTCTTTTTGCCATCCCCCCGTCCCTCCCCCTCCCCTCCCCCTCCCTCTTCCCCAATGTCGCCACCCCCACCAGGCGCGCTCCCCGACCTAGCCAGGTGCCCCGCCGTGCTGAATCTCTCTAATAACGCGCTGGAAGGCGCGCTGCCGGCGACCATGGGCACCGCCTGTCAATCCACGCTCACGGAACTCGACCTCTCGCGCAACAAGTTCACCGGGGACATCCCCACTCCGCTCACGCGAATCCGTTTCCTCCACCGCCTCAACCTCAGCCGCAACGCGTTCTCCGGCACTATTCCCATCTGCTTCGACGCGCGGCGCGCGTTGCGGGACCTCGACCTGTCGTATAATCTCCTCGAGGGGTGGATTCCGAGGGATCTTGGCACCCACTTGGCGTTTAAGTCGGTTGCGCTGGGCGGGAATCAGCTGTTTGGGCAAATACATTACCTGCTGAAGAATTTCCCCGTGGCGAGCTTCAGGCCGGACAACTGGCAGCTGTGTGATCCGCCACTGCCCGCCTGTGCCCCTGAGGTAATAATGATTTAACGAGTGAAATGCTGAGTTGACTTTTTTGTTATTAAAAAAAGTGACGCGCCGCGGCCCGCCTTTGTCTTCGATGTAGCTATGACGTGACGAGTGAGAGGCTGAACGCGGGGGAACGGGTGAAAGGCGCGAACGGATCGCAGAGGTGTGAGGGTGGAGAGACGGAAGTACGCGAGTCAGGGGAGGTCGTAAATACGGCAGTAAAGTTGTACATAAAGAAGCGGTCGTCGTTCCGATATTGGCCCATTGGATTGGAGCCGTCACCCTAATAAATCAGGGAAGCTGTACCGTTAAAAAAAACCTTTTGTATCTCTCTTTTAGTACTTTCCATTAATATTTTGACGTTTTCCAACATTATTACGGTACTGCGTAGGTACCATTGGATATTTCTAGTACTTTTCTGAAATACCTAGCTGAGGTACAATTGTACATATACATGGTTTAACGCCATTGCCCCCTGCTGCTTTGTACATGCCAGTATATTTAGACAGGGAGAGGAGACCAGTTGCTGCTCCTCAGGGCTAACCTGGAGCTTGACTGTCAACCAATTCTGATCTGAACCTGAAGCTACTAACGTCATACCAGGAATCCGGATTCATAATAGTAGGTGTGGATGAGGAACAACATGGTAACAGCAAAATAGAGCAAACGAAATGAAATGAGAGGGGGGTTGGATGCGGTGGAGTGGGTTGACTTGCCTGCAGTCTTGAGTGCTGGCTGGCACCTAACTACTTCACCATGAGTGCATCCTCGCACTGCTTCACAGGTTCGCCACACAGCAATTCATTCCCAGGCAGGAAAGACGAGTCAGGGTAAGTCGCCATGGTGTCGGGAATGGTCCCATCCAGCTGATTCCCCGCAAGGTACACCTCTTGAAGAGCTTCTGACAGCCCAAGCGCGGCGGGAATGGACCCTTGCAACTTGTTCCACGAGAGGTCCAGCACGCGCAGGCTGCGCAGATCCGCGATTCCCTCGGGAATGGTGTCGTTCAGGGCGTTGTGCGAGAGAGAGAGGTGGGTGAGGAACGAGAATTCCGCAATGACGGTGGGGATGGCGCCCGACAGCTGGTTGTACGACAGGTCCATGCGCTCCACCACGCCTGCGCACGAGTCCATGCTGGGAAGATCGGCGGTGAATCCGTTGTTCGCCAGGAGCAGCTCCTTGGGACAGTTGTTGATGCTTGGGAGCTTGCCTGGAGATTGGAGGTAGGAGAGGGGAGAGGAAGAGAGGGAGGGGGCGGGTGGATTGGCAGGGAGAAGGGGTTTTGAATGCGCGAGTGAACGGAATCTGGATGGGCGCAAGGCACTCGAGATACTCGAGCACACGCGGGAGTGACGGCGTGACGTCAACCCTTGAGTGAACAACATCTGCCTGTGCTTGAGTGATGCTACAAGTCACATACTCACCCGTCAACCTGTTGCTGCTCAGGTCCAGCTTCAACAGTCCGTTGATCGCCGTCACCGCCTCGGGAACACTCCCGGACAGCGCGTTACGCGCCAACACCAGCCGCTGCAGCTGCGCCAGGTCGCTTATCTTTGCGGGAATCGTCCCCGACAGACGGTTCTTGGCGAGGTTCAAGGTGAGGAGGTTGGAGAGCGCCATGAATTCATCCAAGCCTCCTTTCAGGTTATTGTAGCTCATGTCCAACATGTACATGGACACGTCCTCGAACATACGCGACGGAATGGAACCTCGCAGGTCGTTGTGAGACAAGTTGACGTCCATGAAGTTGAACAGCGTGGCGAACGGCCGCAGGTTGTCGGTGCTCAAGCGGTTGTAGCTCAGGTCCAGGAAGAAGCGCGTGTCGCGGTCGCCGCGCGCGGCGAACGCGCCAAGAGCCGGTCCGGACAGGCGGTTGTGCGGCGCGTAGAACGCATCGAGGTTCGTGAGCGCCTGGAAGGCGGTGGGGATCAATCCGGTCAGGTCGTTAAAGCCCAGGTTGATGTGGCGGAGACTGACGAGCGAGCTCCACTCGGGACGGATGGCCCCAGTGAATTGGTTGTGGCTCAGATCGAGGAACGATAGTTTCGTGCTGCTGGCTATGAGCGTCGGCAGCGAGCCACGCAGTTCGTTCCAGGAAATATCCAGGAAGGTCAGCTTCGTCGAGGCCGCCGTGCCCGTGGGGAAGCTCCCCGCCAGGGAGTTGTGGCGCAGGCGCGCTTCGGCGAGACGCGGAAGACTCAGTAGCGAGGACGGGAGGGAGGCGGAGAGCTCGTTGTAGCCGAGGTCCAGGAACGTGAGCGCCGTGAGCAACGTCAAGGAGTCCGGAATGCTGCCGGTCAGCTGGTTGGTGCCGGCCGCCAGGTGCATAATGCTGGGCAGCTTAAGCCCGAGTCCCGACAATAATTCGCCAGAGAAAAGATTATCGGAAATGTCGAGGGAGGTGAGGCGGGTCATGGACAAAAGCGCGTTTGGCGTTCCGGAACTTTCAAGGCGATTCGCGCGCAGGTTGAGGTACCGGAGGCCCGAAAGCGTGCTCATCTCCTCGGGAATGTCGCCTGTCAAGTCGTTGTACGATAGGTCGAGGTTCTTGAGCGGCGACGAGAACGACCCCACCTTGGTGGGCAGGCTCCCTTTGATGTTCGTGCTGGAAAGGTCGAGCGTCTCGAGCTTCGGCATGGTGAGGAACGTCTCGGGAATAGTCCCCTCGAAGTGGTTGTTGTTGCGGAGGCGCAGCATCGAGAGCTTTGTAAGCTTGGTGATCACCGAGGGGAAACTGCCGGTGAACTCGTTGCAGGATAGGTCGATAGCCACGAGTTCGCTGATGTCCCCGAGGCTCGAGGCGGCATCCAAGGAGCCCTCGATCTTGGGCGTTGGCGGCCACGAGCACGGGGACAGCGTGAGCCACGACGCGCGGGAGCTTTCGTCGCAACTGATGCCCTGCCACGAGGTGCAGACGTCAATGTCGGGATCCCAGGACGTTAGGAAAGATGCTCCTATCATGCTTTTGAAGGTGAGGAGAGCCATCGCGTCGGGATGCATGCAGTGCACGATGCGGATGGAGAGGAGCAACGTGAGGAGCGCCGCTGCTTGCAGCAGCGGGCGGTCTTGGAACGTCGTTGACGCGGTCATGTTTCGTCTCTGAGCTGCGCCTCTGCTGATGATGGCGCGTTGTCTGTGTCCGTATGTGTATGATGATTGGCAAGAGTGATTGTGGCTGATCGCTGGCTAATTCTGTGTTGGACGTCTCCGAGGAATAAATCTAGTACGAGTGTGGATAAACAGACTAATTCGCGGACACGGGACGAGAGTGACTGGATTACTCAAAACTATGAGGCGAGAAATGTAGATTCAGGAACACGGGACGGGAGAGTGAAGGAAGACTCTGGTATGAGGTGTGATCACACCTTGAGATAGGAGCAGAAATACGAATTCCTCACTGCTGGAGAATGTTGGGAGGCAGAAAAAGAGAGTAGTTAGACATCGAGGCGCGCACCAAGAATTCAGCGCGACGCGGAAGCAACGAACTGTCGAGCACGAGTTCGTCATGTCAACGGAGTAACCGCGCGCCCCATTGTCGACATGCTTCTCGTGCAAATCTGGGCAGGGGAAATACTCCACGGGCTGAAAGGCAAATCAATCGAATTCCCGTTGGTGAAACTCTTGAAACAAAGCTTTGAGGCGAAAATTCAGATTTTGGGCAACAGGTCGAGACATTATGTTGTGTTCCCAAATATCGGCCATCATTATGTTCACATTTCTAAGAACAACAGAAATATTTCGCCATAGAGTTGTCCAGCTTGTTTGAACAGGCGAAGTGGAAGTTAGAACGATGATAACAAGGTGACGCTAGTAGCATCTCACTAGCTGGCACATAGTCACAACAAACCACCCCGAACCGACACGTACTGCGAAACAATCTCGCTTGCCCAGCACTGCAAATTGGCGATTGGCGAACTCCTATTTCGAAACATGGCCCCTCCAGCGTTGGTCAGGGGCACTAACAGGGGGAGGTGCATGCTGACATGGAGCAGCATGCACTCCACGGAAGGTGCCCCTTTTATTGACCGGCAAGAACCCACAAACAGCTTCAAGCGCGAGTCCAGGGCAGCAGTCCGCGTCTCACACAGCACAGCGATAATATACTAGTGAGCATGCGGGCTGCTCTCTCGCCAGCTAAGCGCATTCCAACTCGAATCCATATCCGCAAGCATCCACCACAGCTCAGATTGCCATGTGCAACCACGTGTTCTGGTTAGTGCCGTTGCGCCACTTAAGCTCGCCGCGGCTCTTGATCGAAGCGCGAATTAGGGCGTGTCTGAAGTGAATTTCGACGTTTGCCGACGAAACTTTCGTCGACGTTCCTTGACGAAACTCGACATCCGTTTTCAGCTGTGTTCACTTCAGACACCCACACGACAAAATAACCCACACGTGCCATAGGAACACTGTTATAAGTTGCCCATGAAAATTCGACGTGGAATTAACAGAATCATTCATGTAACTCAATTGTTTGCAATCTCGCGAATTTCGCTTAGCATAGATTGTTGCTGGTAACACCGGATATTCTACTGTCACATTGCCAGCGAAATTTCTCTAGCACGTGTCGCTCTCGTCTTAGTTCTTATTCACGTGTGTTTGCCACAGCTATGCAGACATGGCGTGTCGAAGAATTGTTTTTGAAACACTCACTGACTACAGTGACTCAAACAGCTGCCCGGTATCACTGTTCGACATCCCTCGACATGTGCACGAACGTCGAGTTTCGTCGAGGGATGTCAGGCTGCACTTCAGACACCAACACGCGTGGGTCCCACGGATGAGTTTCGTCGACGAAATTTGACGAAACTCGACGTTTGCACTTCAGACACGCCCTTAGGGACGTCGACCACTTGCTTTCTTGAACGTCCGCCGAGCCGCGCTCTGGGCGTGAATACGAACAGAGCATGCTAAGGACAGACGTTCGTCATATAGCCTCGAATTTCTCCGACATCTCGACCCTCGATATCAAACCCGCAAAATCTCAGACACGACGACTACCAGACTCCTATCATCTCGTCACCCAACTCTCAACGAGACGACGTAGAACCCAGAGCTTACGAGACTACTCATCTCTCTTTTTCTTCCAGACTTTTCCAGTGCTTGCAACAGCACCTTAACCCCATGGCTCCAAAGCGCCTGCCCTTCACCACGCTCCTCCTGCTTCTCCTCTCGTCTTTCCTGGTCCTCACCACGCGCGCGGACGACAAGTCAGCCGTGGACGCGATATTCAAGGCCGCCGGCGCGTACACGAGCGGCGGGTCGCTGCCTCCAGTGTGCGAGCGCGGAGGAATCACCTGCGAGAACGAGCGCGTGGTGCAGATCGAATTCTCGCAATGCGCCGACCCGCCCGCCCCCACCATGCTGGACGGCACGCTGCACTCGGCGCTGGGCTCGCTGGGTAGCCTGAGGGCGCTCAACTTGTCGTGCAACAGCCTGCGCGGCGCCATCCCCAGCACGCTCACCAAGCTGCAGCACCTCACGGCGCTGGACCTGAGCTTCAACCGCCTGCGCACGCGCGTGCCGCGCCACCTCTTCCGCATCCCTGCCGTGCACACGCTGCGCCTGCGCAACGCGGGGCTCTCCGGCTGGCTGCCACGGAAACCCAGAAGCTTCTCCCACACGCTGCGCCACGTGGATCTGGCGCACAACCGCATGTGGGGCTCCCTGCCCAGGGCTGTCCGCAACATGCGCAAGCTGGAGAGCCTCGACGTGAGCTTCAACCGCCTCAGCAGCACCATCCCCAAATCCCTCTCCCGCATCAAGACCCTGCGCAGCCTCGATCTGAGCTTCAACCGCTTCACCGGCACGATCCCCGCGGGGCTGACTACGCTGCACAGCATGGTGAACCTGAGGCTCGCAGGCAACCGCATTGGGGGCGTTATTCCGGCGGGGCTGACCCACATGACACGGCTGCAGGTGATGGACCTGAGCCGCAACCAGCTGCGCACGCGCATCCCCGCTGCCATCCTCTCCATGCGATCCTTAGAGCAGCTGCACCTGCAGCACAATTATCTCCGCAGCACCTTCCCCCGCACCCCGGTGGCGCTGTCCCACAGCATCAAGCACTTGGACGTGTCACACAACGGGCTGTCAGGGCTGCTGCCAACGACCCTGCAGAACCTGGGCAACCTCACGCACCTCAACGTGGCGTGGAACGGGCTGGACGGCACCGTGCCCACCACTCTGAACAACCTGCCCCTGCGCCACCTGGACCTCAGCCACAACGCCTTCAACGGGTCGCTTGGAGTGACCGCCCAGGACGCGCTGTACGGGCAGAGCAACCGGTTTGACGGCGTGGTGGCAGCGGCGTTTGCCGACGGAGGCAGGGCCCCACTGAAGGTGCTGGACCTGAGCTACAACCTGCTCACCGCACTCAACCCCTTCCGAAACTGGAACCTGACGGAGAGGATCATCCTCTCTCATAACTCCATCCAGCAGACCGTGCCTGTGCATTTTCTCGTGGACGATGCGGCAGCGGGCGGCACGCGTGCCAAGCACCTGGACCTGAGCTACAACCTCATTGGCGGCACCTTGCAGCCGCTGCACACGTTGACTGCGTTGACCAGCCTTGACCTGACGGGCAACCAGCTGACTGGGGGCGTGCCCACGTGGGTAAACAAGCTGACGAGGCTGCGGCGGTTGCACCTGGGGGAGAACCAGCTGGGCGGCACTCTGCCTGTGGAGCTCTTCGCGCCTGCCAGCGCGCTGCAGCATGTGGACGTCAGCGGCAATGCCCTCTCAGGTGCGCCTTGCATGGGGGGAGCGGGGAGGGTTCGGGGGGGGATGGTGAGGGTACGAATGGGAGGACGGAGAGGAGGGAGGGGGGGGGAAAAGCGAGAGGGTGTGGAAGAGGGGGAAGGGAACGAGGGAAGGAGTGAGGTGCCAGGCATCCAGGTGAACCCACACGTCTTATAATCTCTCCCTCCTGCTCCATGCCCCATCCACGGAACAACATTCTCATCATCGTCTTAATCCCACCGCCCTTCCCTCACAAAATCCCCTCCCTTCCTCCGCCCTTATCTCCCCCACACGCCTTCCCCACTCCCCCACCCGCCCTCGCCCCCTTGCCCCGCTCCCGATCCTTGTCAACAGCCGGCGGTGCTGGAACTATCGAACAACGTCTTGAATTCTCTCCCCTCCTGCTCCATGCCCCATGCACGGAATAACATTCTCACCGGCCTTCCCTCACAAAACCCCCTCCCTTCGTCCCCCCCTTTCTCTCCCCCCCACCTTTCCCCCCTCCCCCACTCCCCCACCCGCCCTCTCCCCCTTGCTCCGCCACCCCGCCAGGCGCGCTCCCGACCCTTGTCAACTGCCCGGCGGTGCTGGACCTATCGAACAACGGGCTGCAAGGCGAGCTCACAGCGGCCATGCTGGCACCCTGTGTCGACGCCGCGCCTCTCACGGACCTCGACCTCTCGAGCAACAAGTTCACCGGACCCATCCCCACCGCGCTCACGCAACTCCGCTTCCTCCACCGCCTCAACCTCAGCCGCAACGCGTTCTCCGACTCCATTCCCCGCGGATTCACCGCGCTTGGCGCGCTGCGCGATCTCGACCTGTCGCATAATCTCCTCGGGGGGAGCATTTCGGAGAACCTGGGAAGCAGCGTGGCGTTGAAGACGGTCGCGCTAGGCGGGAATGGTCTGTTCGGGCAAATACCTTACTGGCTGCGCAAGTTCCACGTGGAGAGCTTCAGGCCGGACAACTGGCAGCTGTGTGATCCGCCGCTGCCTGTCTGCGTCCCCGCTGTAGCTATGTTTTAACGAGTGCGAGAGGCTGAAAGCGGGTGAGCAGGTGAAAAGGGCGCGAACGGATCGCTGAGGGTGCGGGGGTGGAGAGGAGAGACGGAAGAGCGCTAATCGTCGGTGGATGTCGTACGTGGTAGGTAGCAATTATTGTACACAAAAAGAGCGGCCGTTCAGGTCGGCTGACTGAAGTGGAACAACTTGTGTTCATTCAGATCATTGGAGCCACTGTTTTCCAGAAACTGTTGGGACGGGGGGAGGTGGGGTAGGGGAGGGGGGAAGGGGGTTGTGGGCGGTTTGTCGTATAAGGTTCCCCAACAATATTACTGTATTGGCTTGAAACCCATTCGAGTCATGGCTAGCTATAAGCTGTATGATGTTGTGCATCATTCTCTACTACAATCATGGTAAATCCTCATCCTTAAAAGGCACCAATTGCAATCATACAAGCCCTTGTCATCAGAATGAATCCTTTGTCATCCTTGTTGCGAATATAATTGTACAGATTTTATTGTAATCTACACAATAAGAAATGTAGCATCTAGCCCCTTCACATCGAGTGTGTTGACTGGATGATCGAGCTACAAGGGCGCAACCGCGCACAGCAGTTGCGACCCTCGTGGCCAGGGCTTACTTTATCAGTTTTTTTTGTCCGAAAAATTTTTTTTTGAACACATTTTTACTGGTTCATCTGATGTCGTAGACATGTGTTACGAGTGCAATTGAGTGAACGAACGAGAATTGCACTATCGAAGCAACAGTACAATGAGCCAATTCATGAGCGAAGAATATATAGCGAAACTACAGTGGTAACAGTAATGGACTGTGGTTGTCGCACAACGGGCCTGGGACTGAGGTTGGGAAAAGTGTCGAAGCGGAGGCCCGGAGCGCGGGTTACCCGCCGAGCCGTGAGGTCGGGGTGCGACGTGCGAAGGTGGCGGGCGGATTGTCGATGCGAGGGTTGCGAGTGGTAACGGTGTTGACTGTGGTGCTACAGTGATGTACGCGTTGAGCAGGGATGCGAAGTAAGGAAAAGGAATTTTCCTTACACTACCCCCCCCCCCCCCCCCCCCCCCCCTAAGGAGGTCCTCCTTACGAAAGTGCGTGTACATCCCTGAAATTTCGGCTGCGCAGATACTCGGTGAGGACGGGGTGGTTTTCGATTCTGTCCAGGGGAACCCAATTGTCTTCGGTGGGTGTACGGTCCTTCCAGCGGAGTAAGAACTCGATCCTTCGGGCTCCTCGAGGGTCGCGAACTCTGTGACTCAGGATTTTCTCGGGGGTGATGATTGGTTCACTTGGTGGTCTTGTCATGCTGGCTGGGCGATTGCGTGGCAGTTGGCTCGTGGACGGGACGTAAGGGCGAAGCAGGCTGACGTGGAATGAGGGGCTGACGTACCAGTCAGCAGGGAGGAGGAGGTGGGCGGTGACGGGTGTAAGCATGTGGCTTATGCGAAATGGCCCGCAGTATCGGGGGCGGAGTTTCGGGGTGATGGGCAGTCGGAGGTTCTGAGTGTCAAGTAAAACTAAGTCGTCGGGCTGGTAAGTGACATGTCTGCGGTGGCGGTCGGCGTTGCGTTTAGCGATGATGTTCGATTTTTTTATTGCGTCTGCTGCCCAGGTCCGTGCCGCTGGTTATATTTCGGCGAACTGTTGTGCTCGTGGTACTGGGTTGTCGGGATTCGTGGTCATGGATACTAACGGGTCTTGTCCGTAGTTTAGGTAAAATGGTGACTTTTGGGTCGTGGCGGATGTCGAGTTGTTGTACGCGAATTCGATTAGTGGCAGTTGCTGTTCCCACGTGGTCGGTTCGTCACACGTGGCCCTGATGAGCTGTTCCATGGTCTGATTTGTCCGTTCTGTCTGTCCGTCGGTTTCGGGGTGGTATGATGAACTGAACTGCAATCGCGTGCCGAACTGCTGCCACAGGTTCCGCCAGAAGTTGCTGGTGAATTTCGTGTCGCGGTCGCTGATGATCGCGGCTGGTATCCCGTGCAGTCGAACGACGGTGGAGATGAAGAGGCGTGCTGTTTCTTCGGCTATGATTGATTTTTTGCAGGCTGCGAAATGTGCCATTTTCGTCAGTCGATGGACGACGACCAGGATCGCGTCGTTCCCACTCGCCCCGGCCGGTAATGTGAGAATTTAGGAAGGAATGATTGCATTGAGCAGCATGAGGAGTACAAGTAGGAAACCCTAAAGTGTTGTACCCCATATGAGCTACCCCACTACAGCCTACACAGACTATAGCATATAAGTTTGACACACCCCCATAGGCAAAGTGGGGGAGAACAAGAGGTCACAATACCAGTCAAGAGAAGCAAGGCAAGCTCAGGGTGGATCACAACGTCACCACACATTCTGAGCACAAGCACAAGGCCACAAGGCCAGTTCACATGTAGAGTTATATATCAAGGTGAACAAACAAGGCAGTGATCTCAACCTAGCAAGGGTAAGCATGCAAGTGCAGGTATATATAGATCACAGTACAAGCAAAGTCAAGAAGTGAGCAAGTGAGGCCAAGTAGGCACAAGACCTAGCAAAGTACAAAAGCGCTGATGATCACAAGGCGGAAGTGCCTTGGTAAAGATATCAGCAGTGTTGGCCTCAGAGGCCACGTAAGCAAGGCGCAGCTGACCGCGCTGCTGCAGCTCACGAGCAAGGAAGTAGCGGAGAGCAATGTGCTTCGTTCTGTGCTCCAGTCTGTGCTCCCGACACAAGGCCAGCATGGCCTTGTTGTCTACGTACAGAACTGGAGGAGAACAAGGCGGCTCTCCTAGGTCAGTCAGCAGGTAGGTGAGCCAGCGTAGCTCCTGTGCAGCCATGGCCCCTGCGTAGATCTCGGCCTCACAGCTGGAGCCGAGAACAGAAGACGAGCGGGTAGACCGCCACGAGACAGAGCCGGAACCAAGGCTGAAGGTGTAACCCTGTGACGACCGCTGCGTAGCCTGGTCGTCAGCCCAAGAAGCGTCTGTGTGACCTGTGAGGACCACTGGACGTCGCCCTCCAAGCACTAGCCCCATGCCCGACGTACTGCACAAGTAGCGCAACACCCTCTTCGCTGCAGCCATGTGCTCTGGTCGGTGTCTCCCAGGAGCCACATAGCGTGCCAAGATGCTAAGAGGGTATGCTAGGTCAGGTCGTGTGCAGGTCATCAGGTACATGAGGCAGCCAACAAGCTCTGGGTACGGGCCACTCGGCTCTACGGACTCATCCGAAGGCAGAGCTGAGAGCGAGTGGCGAGTAGACAGAGGAGTGGCCTGAGGCGAGGAGTACGTGAAGTCGAAGCGCTGAAGGACCTGCTGCACCATGTGTGACTGAGTCAGGGTAATGGTGCGCTGTGCTCTGTCCCGGGTGATCTGCAAGCCAAGGTAGCTGCGCAATTCACCCAGGTCTGTGCACGTGTGTCTCTTCTGCAGCTCGGACTTCACGTAGGCGAGTCCAGCAGTGTCAGCAGTGGCAAAGACCAAGTCGTCGACGTACACGAGGATGTAGAACGGTGGCAGAGAGGTGTCGGTGCGCAGAAACAGCGACGGGTCGGCAGTAGAAGGAGCAAACCCAAGAGCCGCAAGTGTAGTCCTCAGTGTGTCGTGCCACTCACGGGGCGCCTGGCGGAGACCTTAGACTGGCCGCCGGAGGCTCCACTGGGTACCAGGAGGGAACGACCCAGTGAAGCCAGGTGGGCGGCGCAGCCAGATCTCCTCCTGCAGGCTGCCCTGCAAGAAAGCTGTGCTGAAGTCAAGAGAGTGAAGCTCGTAGTCGCGCTGAGCGGCTATGTGCAGCAGCACCCGAAGAGTGGTCATCTTTGGGGTAGGGGAGAAGGTCTGAAAGTAGTCAACTCCCTGCCGCTGACTGAAGCCTCGAGCCACGTAACGCGCCTTGAAGACAGGCGGAGAACCCGGCGGCCGCTTCACCCTGAAAATCCACATGCCACTAACGATGTTCGCCCCAGGTGGGGGAACCTCGTCGACGTAGGTGCCTGTGGACTTCCAGGAAGCCATCTCTGCGTCCATGGCTGACTGCCACTGTGAGGAGTAGGGACCCTCGATCGCCTCAGCGTACGATCGAGGAGTCGGGATGTCTGGTGCATCCGGGTCTCCCTCAGGGGCAATCAGCGTGGACACGAGATGAGGCAAAGCAGCAGCAAAACACTGGAACTCCTCCTGCCTGTCCTCAAGGACGTCCGTGCTAAGAGCACACTCACCCCCGACGGACGGAGGACAGACAGACTCAGACTCAGCAACAAGACTAGCAGCGTAGTCTAGACAACAGCGAGCAGCAAAGTCGACAAGCTCAGCAACTAAGGCAGACGCAACAGTGGACTCACAATAAGGGTCAGTGACAACAGTAGCCAGGAGACGCGTGACAGTAGGACTGGCAGCACGAAGAGAGTCAGACTCAGGGTCAGCAAGAGTAGGAAGAGAGGACTCTGGAGGAGACGGCAACGGGACACGCAGAGGAGTAGTGGAAGGACGCAGTGCCATCTGGTGTGTGCCGGGGACCGCAGGAGGACGCGGACGCGGAGCACGACCACTAGCGCGAGCAGCACGAACAGGCGACGCAGGACGAGACGCAGGCTCACGACTCTCAGCAAGACCTCCAGTAGGACCAGTGTAGGGAGAAGGAGTAGGCAGGGGGGAGGTGGGCTGTAACTGTGACCGCAACTGGACAGGCTGTGGACACACTAAGGGAGGAGCAGGACCAGTAGAGGGCGGGAGACCAAGAACCTGCTCAAGGAGCGGAACGAAGTACGGCCTCGGCCGCGCAGCGCCTCCAGAACCAGCAGGGACAGCACCAGTACCCCCAGCGGCAGCACCAGTGCCAACAGCACCTCCAGCTCCACCGCCACCTCCAGTACCCTCAGAAGCACCAGCGCCAGCAGAACCACCAGCGCCAACACCCCCAGTAGCTCCAGCTCCAGCAGCTCCAGTAGCACCTCCAGCAGGACTCCCAGTCCCAGCAGCTCCAGAACCGCCAGGACGAGCAGCAACAGTAGTACCTCCAGCTCCAGCAGCACG